ACAATGTTACATATAAGAAGAAGTTCCTTTATTGATCCCCCATAGGAGGAATTCAAGTCAGACACAGCAGCACAGTGGAATGTAATGTTAAAGTACAATAAAGAATAATACAATACAAATATTATAAAAGATATAATAGAAAATATAAGACTATAATTAAAATTATATATTACTTGGTATCTTTTTTTATATTGCTCATTATCTTTGTAGGTTTTGCATTATTTCTGTCATAAATATATGTCAATAAAATACTAAATTATAATCTTTAAATAATATTTAATTATGAGCGAACTCTCTAGGTATAAGAAAACCCCTATCAACAACAACAAGCCACTTATCTGTTGTTATAACAGGTTATATGGTTCAAAATTCTTGTTTGATAAACTGCTGCCTTCATCGAATGCAACTTTCTTAAAACGCAATAATAATATTAATAATAAACATGAACAAAAACAGACACTGGGCGAAAAATTACCAGAAAAAGACTGGGTCAAATTTGAGAAAGAGTCGAGCAGCCATAGTAGCAATTATCAACAGACCTCTCACGGAAGAGGGCCCACCCTGTTTGGTAAAAAAAAAAAAAGGGCCAACTTACCTGTTGCCATTAAAGCGGCGATGATTAACGTCCAAAACATTTTTACTCCTCTTTCCTCTGACTCTCCGTCGACGTAGAATCTTGTTATTTCATCAAATACACACTAATTAAACCCCTTCAGGTTGTACATACTAAAGAGCGCAACTGTACTTCTCCTCAGCCAGGTAGTTCAAGCTCCATTTTGTGTCTTTGTGTGCTTGAAGGCGAGGGGAGTACCTGAACGTCCCACGTCAGCCTCGCAGCCAACAGGTGAGCTCAGCTGGCACAGACAGGTTGCGAAACACAGGGGTGTGTACGGTATTTTCAGTTGTTGTTTTTTTTTTTTTTTTGCTCGATGGTGGACTCATTTGACTACAAGGAGCTGGTGTTAAGAACAGGACGATTTAAAATAAATACCAAACTGCTTCTTGGTCGCTGTGTTTTGTTCGCCCTGAGAGGAATTTGACCGAGAAATAACTTGTGTTTCACCTACCCGCGCTAGTTGGTACAATCCAGACACTGATAAGCGTATCAAAACCGCTGTTTGTTAATGTTCAACCCGTCTGTGGGAGTACAAGTGTGTGTGTGTGTAACCAAGTAGGCCTAGTTTCTGTGGGTGGGAAATTTTGCAACTGAACACTGACTGTTGCGCAGTTTTCCCGCACTTTATTATCACAGTATTACTGCATAATATTCACTGTGGGAAGTAACTAAGTACATTTACTCAAGTACAAGTTTGAGGTAGCCTACTTGTACTTTACTTGAGTAACTATTTACAGTTTTTGCTATTGCACTACAGTTCAGAGGGAAATATTATACTTATACTCACTCAACAACATTTTTTAATCACTTTACGTTATTTAGTAGATTCAGATCAGTAATACAAAATATTATCAGAAAATAAATAATGATGCATTATTGGTTAAAATATGACTGTACTGAAATGGTGAAATTCACAATTTACCCACCCAGCAGTATATATAGTGAGATAGTTTCAATAATTAAAATCCAGTGATATAAAATATAGTCTGAAATGGGCCATTTTGCACTACTTTTGAGTACTTTAAGAATATTGTGATGCTAATATTTTTACTCAGGTAAGATTTTGAATGCATGCCTTTTACTTGTAACAGAGTATTTCCACAACTTGGTATTGCTTAAAGTTCTCCTCCACTTAAAAAATATGTTTTTCTTCCCACAGATGGATGTTTGGGCTTTGCAGATGGTATTTTTAATGAGGTCGAATTAGTAGACACATTTTAAGGCTTTTGATTGGAAATTTTAATGTTTGTGGACAAACATAGTCCGAAAAATTACCAGTCCCTACAGACTGAGCTACTGCTTTCTTTTTTTAAGCTATTCAACAGTACAGTAGTTAAACCTTAAGAATGATGCTTACACATTAAAACATCAATAACTACAATCCAAGTATTCAAAGGGTCCAATCTGTGTAATGAGTACTTTTATTTTCAGTTTATTATAGCTGCTAGTAGGTCCACCATTGTACTTTTACCTCAGTAAACATGCATGACTTTAACTTGTAACAAGTGTCAGTGTTTCTACACTTTGGTTTTGGTTTCTTTTTTTTAAGTTGGACTACTTTGTCCATCACTGATTAATAATGACAGAATAATGACCATATGCCATTTAAAGCAAGTTTTAATTAAGACAGCAGATACACATATTCATTAGGGTATTTTAGCAGAAAACTCGCTAATTTCAAAAATCATTATTTTCATCAAGTAGAGCTCAAACCTGATTTGTCAAATAAGCAATTAGTTAATCGATAGCAAATTAAATTAAGTTTTTTCAAAGCAAGACAAAACAAGCAGTTTGATGACATAACTATGGACATTTTATAGCCCAATTCATTGAATAATTAAGAACATAATCAGCAGGCCTGTCCTTAGTCTAAAGCAATTGTCCCAAACAGTATACATAAAAAAAAAACTGCACAGCTATTTTCTATATGGCATTGCTATGGAAGCTAAACTAGCGATTATTATGCTTGGCGAGAGTATGGCTTCAGCACACTACTGACTTCTTCTGATCATGCGGTGTTCTTCACTGTTTCAGTCCTATTAAAAAAAAACAAGAGTTTCTAGTGTGCATCTGTTGAGTTAAAAATATTCATATTCACCTAGTAGGCCTCCTGTATTTTTTAAATTAATATTTTAAACAACTCAGTGATAATGATAAATGCCCTCATTAATGAAATGTAATATATTAATACAGACTGAACCTACCTGTTTATTTGGCACTGCTAAAAGGAAAAGAATAAAAACATATTTAAATAGTGAAATGTGTTGTACCATATCTAAGACATACAGTCAATTTTATCCTTTGAATGGCGTTGAAGACAGAAGGAGTTGAAGGAGTACGTATGACTTATAATCACTTTAGTGACTCATGCAGAAACCTAACTGAAGATAGTTCTGTTTCTCAATTTAACACATTGAAAGTTATGTGACCAGTGACCATAAAAAGTCATACTTACAATGTAGATCACCAGCGCTGCCACCAGATAAAGGACTGCAAAATAAAAAGACGTAGCTGTCAAAAATCTGCCTTTGTTTTAAGTCACGCAGTTTATCAATGTCAGTATCCAACTGACATTGAGTGATTGTGTTAAATACATACCAGCACTAGCAATCAATCCGTAATGGCCTCGGGTGAGTGGCTGAACACCTAAGAAGAATAAATACATTAAAATAGTACCAGGAACTCTACAAAACCTAAGCTAGACTAGGTAATGTTCAGAACCTTTTTGTCAGAGAAGCGAGAGAGGGTAGAGGGGGGGTACAGACCAGAGCCGAGGCCCGGTCGGGCACAAAGCACACGGTGCAAGAATGCCAACAGATTGCCAAACTAATTCTATGCTAATGCTGAGGATTCGATGATGCTTTAAAGGGGCATTAGGTCAGAGAAAGTTGTGGGAGCGTTTTCAGACTATTTAGACTGTATAGATAAACAGGGATGATGGCTGGTTGGATAATGTGCAGTAACAGCTGATGAGTGACAGCACAGGTAAGGTTTGCCTTTCATTTACTGCAGGGGTCCCAAACTTTTCCATCCCAAGGTCCCCCAAATAGCCAACACAAAGTACATACTCCATAAACACAGTAAGCATTGATGTAGTGTTTTACAAATCAAAACATGGCCATGCATCTATAATTCAGTTCGTCAATGTTTGCATCAAATTGACATTCAGTAATAGTGTCAATCACATACCAATTGATCCATTATGTGCAGGGCCACAGGTGCGCTGTCCACCTGAAGAAGAAGAAATACATTAATATATCATCAGGAACTCCACAAAGCCACCTGGTTCACTTTTCAAGTTTTAATGCATTGATAATTGATGATTTTAAATGGTCCAATATTCAACTTATACAAGAATAATGTGGAAACTTGGAGCCTTCAGTGCACATATACTGACTATACATATACTTGTGTCCAGCAGAAAACTTTAGAAATATGCACATTCATATATTCTGGATTTTTTAAAGAGGTAAGAGTAGATGCCTTTTCCAAGGATTTTGGAAATTATACTTTTGTTTGTGGAAAAAAACACATCAGGCACACATTATTGTTCCAAGTAGATTTGTATGCATGTCTTAATATATATCTGGAGGGGATTTTTAAATTGTATGGGAAAGGAGCAGTGTTGCCTTTTCCTTTTGTGGGTACAGTTGAGGCCGCCTGCTTAAAAAAAACTCACGAGACAGGAAGCAATGTAAATCGTGGGTGGGTTTTTTGAGAAACACCATGTTATTTGATGTGTCATCTACATTCTTGTATTTAATTGTGTGCTTATGAGTTGTTGCCAAATCAAATATTCATTTAAATGTAGTAGAATCTACCCAATGTTTGAAAAACTTTCTCTTTCAGTACACATTTAGCTTAGTTTTACCTAGATGTCTGAACATCTTTTGACCAAGGAACAAGAGATTCATGTTTAATACATTCAAGTAATACATACAGCCAGAAGAGATGTTTAGAATTTGTCCTCCATTACTATCTTCCACCTCCATATTTGTAACGCTCCCTGAGCAGATGATGGTGATGGTGGAGCGATGACGGCACACAACGCAGGTCTTAGGAGTAGGGTCAGAGATTCCACAGCATTCTGGAAGAGTTTTATTTTGGGATGTTGAGATGTTAAGATCCCCTTGGTACACAGGAGTGTCATCAGAGTCATAAATAGTCGCCAAATTTGGGCATCTCTCCTCATCCTTGCAGATAAAACACTGAACTGCGTTCAAAAAAAGAGAAAAACCTTGATGAGTAACATGAGGTAAATGTGTGTTCATTTAAATTTCAGAACAAAGGTACTTAAATCAAAGAATATTGCTATTATATAACTTGAAATAATAAAATGACTGCAGCTTGGTTAACTACAAATGTCTTAACTTACGCCCTTGGTCTGCTGGAGGTTGAGCACCTACGGCTGGTTTAAAAAAAATACTGTCAATTATTGGTCAAAATTGTGTTCAGAGTTCACAATAAAAGGTAATTTTTAGCTAACCTAAATAAATGAAGAAATTGCACATAATTGTGTGACACTGAAATATAATCACACTTTTCAGCACATACCAGGAAAGCCCCCAAGAGCAATGAGCACCATGCAACATTGAAGGTACACTGAAACATAGACCAAAAAACAAAATAGTTATAATAATAGTTATTAAAATATAATATGTATTGTCCTTATGAAGAGGTACACTCTAAACTGGCATTAATTTCTGCATATCATAACCAATATACTGGAATAAAATTATAATTATATATTCACCTAATTAAATATTCACCAGTAAAATCTTATCTTTTTTAGTGTTAATTCAATTGTAAGTTTAAGCAACAAGGTAATAATTTGATGTGGTGTTGTACAGGACTGCATTACAGTGAGAAGAGAAGAGTTTACAATATTGTGCCTCCCTCATGTATTTAAATAGGAGGGGAAAGATGAAACAAAGTCCAGTACAAAGGCACCTTTAATTACAATTTCAATAATAATAGTATCATTGCGTTTACACATTTCTGTCAAAGTAATCAAATACATTATAAACTTTGTAAAACTAGAACTTATAGCATAGCTAATAGATTTTATAGGTCTAACTTACAAGTGTATATTACTTAATTAATTATTACATATTATTTTCCTGATAACTTGAAATTTAATTACATTTCCAGTTCTTCCCAGCAGCTCTTTTCTTGCGATGCTTAACTTTTATCTTCCTTCCAGGAATCAGTGGTGGGCCTTTTGGTTCTCGTGGGTTTGCCCCGGTGTTCTTTTGGGTGTCCATGATGCAGCTTTCTCCTCCTACTAACTCTGACTGCTCCTCTGTAAGGGCTGTTCTGGGTAAAACCTTAGCAGTTTCCTCTTTTGGGTGGGTTTGGGCTATCAGTGGGGCTTGTGAGTTGATGACAACAACAGTGGACAATTTCTCAGCAGACACAGGGCGTGCCAGTGGGGGAGCAACGGGGAAGGCAGCATGGCAAAACCCAGATGAGTATAAACTCATATTTCCTGCCATTTTAGGGTGCTTAAAGACAAGTGATTCTGCATTAGGGATTGGGATTACAAAGCTACCTTTATCTACTACAGGCAAAGCACGTTGCACACTGTAACCATCACTGAATTGATGCGCCATGTTGGAGGAAAGGCCAGCATCACTGTAATATGAAAAAGAAAAAAATGCTTCCTTTACAAATCTTTACAGTAGAAGCAAGAGAGGTGCTGGTTCTTCCAAAGAAATGAATGGGAAATGAATAAACACATTTGTGCATTCATGGAAACAAATAAAGTAAGCAGCTAATATCAAAATGACTCCAGACATCACTGGTTGAGCAAGGCATTACATGACATTCAGATTAAATCATCCAAATCAAAAATATTTTCGAAGGATGAATAAAGAGAAGAGAACCATACCCGCTTTCCTGAGTGTGCAAGCTCTGGCCACCTTCAAGTGTGAAACATAAAAAACAGTTAAAACTACGAATAGCGGTTATTTTTAACAGAACCTTTTGTTTAGTCGGGCATACTGTTTGCTTACTTTATAAAATAATTACTTCCTCTAAAAAAAAGTCTACACTCTAATATTGAGCTTTAAAAAAAACCTGTGACAATGAAATACAATTATTATAGTAATATAATGAGATAAATCTGAAATTAGATCAAACAGAAACACAACAACTGTCCATGGGAATGTCTGGCAAAAAGCACATGCTCCGGTTTACTTCCCTATTTGTACTAATGCGATTTCAGCTTTAAAATATAAATAAATCATAATAATTTATTTCATCACCGAAGTAATTAAAATCTGTGATATGATCAAAGGCATGAGTTTAGTCTTCAGGGGGGCACGGACTGAAAAAAGCTGTCAAGTCCTCCAGCTTTGCCAGGCCTAATGAATGGAACATGCAGCAGGCCCTTGAGCACAGCAAAAAAAACTTTCCTTCTCTTTAACTAAAGAGTGAAACTTAAATTAAAGAAACTAAAGAAAAAATAGAATATAAATGAATGGACTTACTTTCTGACCGAGGATGTAAAACATAATCCGTTGGATGGGTCATTATTGTCAAACTGAGCAGCAGCTGAATGAGACGTTGCTGTATGAGTGATGTATAAGCTGAACAGGAAATGAATGAACATATCCTATCACTAAAATTAATTGTAACAACATCTCCACCTGGTGGAGAGACAGGTTTGTTTCCATCCATTCCAGTCCATCTTGAAAAAAAGATGCAATCATTTATATTATTTATTTTATTATTTTTATTATTATTGTTTTTAAATAAGATCAGTTTTGTTTTTCCTCCTTTAATGGGCTTGGATGAGGTTAGAGCTTTTTATGTAACTACCATCAACAACATATGTGCAGAGTTTCATAATGTGAGACAAACCGGAAGAAAAGGTGAAAGAGAGGCCCATTTTATACCACAGATTAAAATGTGTCTCGGGTGATCACGTACAATACACATTCAATTATAACCTACCTCCAAGCGTTTATTTGTACACATTTTTATTGTAGTTTAAACTCACATTTATCCCAGTGAATTAAACTGTTGCATAACTAACCCCAAAGTTCCTCCTTCTTCTTTTTAATCCCTTTCATTTCATTTTGTTGTTTTTGTGTCTCGCAGATTAAAAAACAAACAGGAGGAGAAGGAAAAAAAAACAAGTGGTCATTTCAGATTTTGAGTTTGTTTCGTTTTCAGAATGACAACTTCGTGATTCAGTGTTTCCAGATCTTGTACGTCTGTAGGAAACTTCAAAGCAAGTCCCTGATCTCAGTTTCAGAGTCCAGACATAGTCATAACCAGGACTAATAAAGAGTTCAAATAAAAACACTTATAAATTAAGTCACAGAAGTGCAAACAAGACAAGAATATTTATTGTGAAACATTAAGATGTCAGAACAAATATAAAATGGAAAACAATCACATGCAGTGAAAACAGGAAGCAGCGAGAGGCTGGAGCCAGCAACACTGCTAACACAGAGTAGTAGTCACGGTTTTTGAATAACAGCTTGTCTCACTGGAAAAAATTGAAGGTTGAAGGTTGCGGTATTTGTTCTTTTAGTGTTATTATGTTTGTTTCTATGTGTTTTGACTATTAAGCCCCTCTGGGGAGCTGTTTACTATTTGAAAATTCTAATAAAATAAAACTTTGATCAAAAAAAAGAATTATGTTTATTGCCAAGTAGGTTTTTACACCATGAGGAATGTGTCCTGGTGCAATTGGTGCATAAAATATACAAATACAAATATACAAATATATACAAATCACACAAAAATCACACAGAAAAATAAAGTATTTTCAAAATATAAATAAATAAAGATAAGAAAGATAAGAAAAGAAAACTGTGCAGAAGACGGGGGTGCTTTAATGTAATGCATACTGTATATATGGGATGGGTATAAGAGTCAGTGTCAATTTAACTAACCTCTATATTCGGGTTACTGTGTTCACACTGCAGGTTTTAGCATTAAATTCTGATTTGCTGCTCAGATCTGTTTTGTTTTTTTTGTTTGGTTATTCAAATGTTTTGTCAAATGTGGCCCATATCAGATTCCAGTGTGAACAGGTCATGGTCCTGAAGTGACCTGCATGATGGACATAGATCTAGAGTTCTGATATGACTGTTCACGTCACATTGCAACAAAATAAGACCTGAATCTGAATGGAAAAGATCAGATCCATGGGATTTGTGCTGTTCACACTGTCATTAAAAAAAAGTGATCCAAGTTCATGTATGAACAAACAAATCAGATTTGAGTCACTTGTGCTGGCAGTGTGAATGCAGGCTGTGTCATAGGTGTTGCTGCTGTATTTTCCACATGGTCATCAGAGTGGGAATACCCCCTTCCCCTCATCTTGCCTCGTCCACACAGTCACATGCCCTTACGTTTATCAGGCTTTTTCCATTCTCATTGGTTCTCACAGTTTAAACTGTGCCTCTCTTTCCTGACCTACAGTGAGGCTGCTGAAGCACTCAGGCGTGCCAGTTTGGCCTCCAGGCCACAGACCAGATGCAAGAAGGCGTGGAACAGGTATAAAGAGAGATCACTATGTCAATTCATGTCCAGACCTGACGCAGATGCTTTTCCTCCACAGCAAAAGGTAGGCACCAGAGAGGATTTCTGTTGAACAACACAGGATAACATAGATTTATCCACTTTTAGAAAAGTTGTAGCTCAGTATAGAATTAAAATGACTAATAACCTTTTAATTCTTTGTTTGCTTCCTGTTTTGAACCAGTCGACTCAGTGTCTTGACTTGATCAACTAGATTGTAGCACTTCAGGAGGTTTTAATTACATTAAAAATGTCTTTATTAAACAGAAAGTATGCGCTGATGAGCCTTTCAGGTGTTTACTGGTTATTAAAGTCTGTCTCAGTCTGTCCTGTGTTAATATTAATTGCTGTTAGTTGACTGCCTGCAGTCATTTCAAATACTATGACTATTCGTTCTCAAGTTGTTGACAGCTTCAACATGACAGTGTGTTTTTTTCAATGTGTTTACGTTATAAACTGTCAACTTCCTGCTCCAGTGTATGCAAAGCCAACTATTCTACTAAGTATTATCTGGGACCAGTTTGTCAGCTTTTTTTATCTTCCTGGTTTACAACACAAAACTCAAAGACTGTGTGAAATGCAAAATGCTGACTCACTCTTCTGTCAAAATCCCTAAAACAGTAAGCATTTCTGTTTAGATCAGTGCATGGGAGCCATTATTTACACAACAGACTCAGTTATGGTAGATTTATATGGTTACAGAGGTCAGCAGCATACCTATTGCGTCTTATTTATTTATTAATGTTAGGTTTTTTTTCACTTCAGGATATAGGAAATCCGGGTTTCAGACTTCCCCCCGCCCACACTGCATCTCCAATTTGTTTCTGGATATAATCAAATATTAATTCCAATTAAGTGAAACAAAATTATAGTTCAGTCATATTATCAGATGCTTCTTTCCTTTATAACACATGATGCCCAAGTCTTACTCGTTTCCCTCGCTGACACTCCCTTTCTGAGAATACATACTTCATTTGAACACATTTGTCTTTAAGCTCTGACAGGCTGTCAACAGGTTGATTCATGCTGAGAAGAAGCTTTGATAAAAATATGTGTAGAAAAATTGGACAATCCAACGCAGTAGCTCTGTGGTTTAGCACCAGTGTTGGTGAATATTTGCAGTTGATTTCCTGATTTAACTGAGACTGTTAGTGGTTAGTTTCAAATACAAAATAAAATGTATTTGAGAGCTAGTAGACCCCCCTTTGGCATCCTTTATAACTGTGACCATAACAGTAGCTTCTTTCTGAATTGCTCATGCATCAGTAATACAACTCCTAAGTATTACGTAAGGTAACAAAGAGGAAAGTCCCAAAAATCACACATTTATGACAAACATTTATGACACATAGGACACCTGCACTTCTAAACAGGAACATTGCTTGCAAAGACTTACTGACAGGACCGGATATTTACTCCACAGCTGCACAAACCACAGCTTCAAAAAATGTTGAATTAACATTTCTGTTAAACCATTTCTGCTTTTTATTGTCTGATCTGAGCTTGCTTTTTAAAATGGCCTCACCTTCACTCTCTGGTCATCACCACTTGGTCTAGATGGCGTATTCCACCAGCACTCTTGCACAAGGCTGTTTTGGGAAGGTGTACAAGCAGAAGTACAATGATACCTGGGCTGCTATAAAGAAGGTCCCCCAACAGCTCATCAATAGGAAGGACCTGGAGAGAGAGTGTGAAGTGTACAAGTAAGTACAAGTGTGTATTTTTTTTTATGTTTGCACTCTCAAAGATGGCAGAGTAGGTGATTTTTTAAAGGAACTACTGAAAAAGAAGAAGCTGATTTCTTAAAATGCTGTGAGGTAAAACACCTAAGTTTCCAAAATGTCTGAAGAGGAAAAATGTAAAATGTGTAAATGTGTAATCACATTTTTTTGTTATGGGGTGTTTTTCAGGGAGGCAGTTTATGTAAATAAAGCATACTTTAAGTACCCTCTGTACATATTTTAAAATACAGTGTACAGTAATATTGTTACTGGGTACCACTATCAATATTGCAATTCAATTATTTCTGGTAAATCATTTTATATAAATGATCATACTTAAAATGAAAATATTTGGAATTGTAAAAAATGTAAATATTACTTTCTTAGGAAATGTATCTGACCTGAAGCCCTTTGAGAGCGTCTTTGTGATATTGATATTATGCAAATAATTTTAGATTACAGAAAAACAGAAAAAAATCTGAGTTGCAGGGTTTTTACTAGTGATATCCGCTTTGGGAATGGGGGGGGGGGGTTATGCAGAATTCTCGCCTCACCTAAAAGGATTCCAAGTGGTTTCAAATCTTTCAGCCAAAAAATATTTTTTATTTTGTTTTATTTTATGCTGACTTGTCATTTTCTCTTTCTCTCCATGAATTGCTACCACTGATCTGCAGCAAAGCAAATCATCCCAACATAGTGAAGCTTCTGGGCAACATAACTCTCGCAGATGGAAAATGGATAATTCCTCTAGAGTTTATCTTTGGAGAGGACTTGGAGACCACCATCTTCAAAGCATCAAAGTCTAAAATACAGGTAAAGCTATCATGACAACAGACAAAAGTCACTGATTTCACATTACACCTTGTTAACGTCAGCCAAGCAGTTTAATGCAGGCCTTAGGGGAAACTCATGAGGAAGGTGGTTTGAATATTATGCAGGTGATATTTGTTGCCAGTCTGGCTAAATTTGATCTCAAATTTCTGCCTCTACAGTTGACTCCATCTAATAAAGGCACTATCATCATCGGCATGTGTGAAGGGCTGCTTCACCTCCACTCCAAAGATATTGTCCATCAAGACCTCAAGCCTGAAAACATCATGGTGAGTGGAGGCCTGCCAGTATTGTCAGTGTATTAGTCTAAAACATAACATAATTATTCCACATACTGTATAGGTGTACTGGAAATGTCAGCTAGTACACCTATGTTATCATACCACCTCTTTCCGCCTCATGGAATCTGATGTTTTATTTTTATTTTGGTATGGTCTTTGATTTTCTTGAATCACAGTGATCCCTGTACTGAGACAAACTAATCTTCATTGACTAAATACTGCTTTAAGTACCTGCCTTTGTTTAGGACAGTGAGCTCTGTCTTGAGATGTTACAATGATTAACAGATCCTTGTGAGTGAAACCCTTTGATCTATTGTGAGGGAGAGCCCAGGCCCTCACCTTTTGTTTAGCCTGATTGTTTCCTGTAATCCTGTATATAATTATAGCCACAAACTCACTCTACAGCTATGTTTTGAACTTCTGTCTCCACTGTGCAGTGAATAAAACTCATCTGAACCTGCCACAAACATTGCACCTCAAGGAATTTTCTTCAACATTCATAAGTATATATAAAAGGCTCATTCTGTAACAAAAGCATATTGATTCTTATTTTCAGGGGATTATACACTTAACAACTTAACTACACATAAAATACTGTATACTTCCTAAATGTTAAACACTGGACTGAACTTTTCCATCCATTGCCATCATCAGGTCAAAATTTCAATTTGTCAAAATCTTAATATCTGCAAAAATTGTGACATTCCCATCAGCCTCAGCTGAGCACTAACAAATGTTTTTACGCTAACACGCTAAACTAAGATGGTGGACATGATATGGTACAGCCTCACAGAAGTGCTAGCATTGCTGTCGACTCCTATATGAAACCTATAATCACTGGGCAGAAGCTAATGATGAATGACCACCTTGCTGTACATTATCCCACTTTTAAAGCTCTGTGAATTGTTTTGTAAGACAATATTTCACATCAACTATATTACATTTGTCCTCCAGGTGGAGCATAACACAAATAGAGCCGTCATCATCGACCTGGGACTGGCCAAGTTCTTCAGACATGGTCTTAACTCTGCCATTGACATGGGGAACGAGGCCTACTCAGCCCCCGAAGTGCTGCAGAGGACCAGCCAGCGGGACCAACGCTCAGACGTGTGGGCTATGGGTAAGATCATCGCTGAGCTCTGTGCCCGGGTCCGGCTGTACACGCCCAGCGTCTGTCCCGCCAAGATCACGGAGACCCTGAAGGATCAGCCGTACTGCCGGGCTGTGTGTAGGATGGTGGAGAACAACCCTTCCCTGAGGGCCTCCATGGGTGGGGTCATCAGTGAGATACGAAGAGCCGGAGGTGCAGGCATCGTCATCGATAAACCCGTTAAAACAGAACACCTTAAGCCACCTTCATCCCACATTAATGTCACAAACCAGTCTCCATCTCCAATGAACAGAGGTGCATCTCCAATGAACAGAGGTGCATCTCCAATGAACAGGGATCCGTCTCCAATGAACAGGGATCCATCTCCAATGAACAGGGATCCATCACCGTTTAATAGAGATGCATCACCAATGAACAGGGATCCATCACCGTTTAATAGAGATGCATCACCAATGAACAGAGCTCCATCCCCGTTTAACAGAGATCTGCCACCGCTGAAATGGGAGCGTTCACCCAGACCAGAACTCAAAGGTTTGCATCCTCAAGCCGGACTGCACCTCTTTCCTTCCCCTCAGAAGACAGAGGATAAAAACAAAAACCAGGCTCTGGTCCCGACAGGCGGAGCTGACCTTACCAGAGACTTCAGGAAAATGAGATTGTACGAAGAGGCTGCCAAGGATCTGCCCTGCAACCTGCCCACAACAGGGAGGGTGGTGGTGCGGCGCTTTGAGGAGAAAAATGGGGAGGTAGAAAAATGGGAGCAGAAGGAGGTGGTGACTCGTGATGGGAAGATAGTCAAGTATGATGATGTCAAGTTTAATAGCAAGTAGTAGTAAAATAAGAGTTTTGTCTCCTCAAAAAGGACTGCATGTGCAGGTTAAACTGGTTAGTTCAGGGTCCACTTTTGGTATCTTCTTAGGAGAAAATAAAATGTATTTCCATTGAACTAAGGAGTAAACTGAGATTCAGCTACAGTAGGCACATATTTCTACAGATAAAATGGACTTAACAACAACCTTTTACAATCTTTCCAGCTGGGAGTTTTAAGCTTTAATAAGAAGATATCTTATCTCTAAAGGCTTTGGTTGTGCTGTAATATGATATTCAAGCATGTTAGCAATTGGATTGATCTTCTAAATTCTTTCCAACCATCAGTGAATGTTCTTCAGCATTTGAATGTATATGACTGTGAACACGGCTCATACATTATGTATTTGTTTATGTATATAAAAACATTCTGAAATATTTTTGCAATTTTTTTATATTATATATTATAACCCTTGAGAACATCAACCAAGTCACAATCTACACTTCGGTTCAGTCATGGCGTTGAATAGTGGCCTGAAAAGTGTTTTTGCAGAACATTAGGATGTCACAGTGAAGTTGACCTTTGACATTTTGAATATAATATGTCAACACTTCATCCTATTAGACATTTGTGTGAAAATCTTGTAATAATTTGCATATGAATTCTTGAATTATGGCCAAAGACATGTTTTTTGTTGTTCCTGAGATATCGCCTTCCTGAGAATGGGACATCTATACGTACGGACAACCCAAAAACATAATGCCTCCAGCCACAGTTATCGCATGTAGGCATAAAAACATTTGATAAAGGGTCACTGCTTTATTTTCAGGGGACTCAAATAGGGCTGCAGCGACCAACTATTTTCAAAATTATTTTCTTGATTATTAATCCATTGTTTTGTCTATAAAAAAATCTGAAAACTGTTCCAAAAACCAAAGGTGTTCACTCTACTACAATAGAATGCTAATCCATACATTTGAGATGGGTGGTCCAAACATTTTGCTTGAACAGTTACTTAAACCATTAATTTATTATCAAAATTGTTGCAAAAATAATCAATAAATTATTTAATCAATTAATGGTTTTAGCTCTGGGTGCAGAATTCTAAGGTCTGCCTCTATTCAGAGCTCACACACACAAAACAAGAAGCACAGTTTTTTATTCTACAGACCATTTTAAGTACCAGAAGAGCTTGTTTCACAGTCCCCATGTACCCCCAGCACCATGTAGTAATCTTAAAACAACACAGCTGACAGCACTGAATTCTACTCACTGGTTGGTGTGTCTAATTGCAACTTTTTTTCCTTCTTCTTACTGTTGGTGTTTGTTACACTTTGTTACACGCAAGTGTCTTAAAACCATTTCACATGTTGAATCCTCCTACAAATTGGTGACTTAAAAATAAAAACCAGCAGCTGTTAAGTATGACTTGTGATCTGTGGATCTGGAGCCTTCTATCTCTAAGCCACAAATTACAAGGAAGTGGGATGTGTGGTTTCCTCTGCAGAGTTGAGGAGTAAATGTCTCTGGGTTGTTTAAAACCACCTCCTGGAACTTCTGTAACATGTGCTTGGTGTTCTTTAAGAGGGTCCTAAAGAATACAAATATATATGGCAGTTCCCAGGGAGACCCTACATAGTGATGATGATCACATAAAACTGTTGACAGTGCTATGCCTGATTTCATTATGTCATTAGTTTTGTAGGTCAGAAACCAAAATATTGGACAAATCATCCTGAATGTGCCAATCCATTCATAGTTGACAAGACTTTTCAATATAAACCACAAGTGCAAACCTCATGGGGGCACTAGAGGAAAAGTAAGGGCATCACCAACATCATTAGGATTCATCTTCTGGGGACCATTAAAGTTTGACCCGCTGGTGGCGCTGGATAAAAAGTCAGAGGATTTCCAATCTTGTTTCAGTTAATCCTAAGAGGGGCATAAAAGTTTGAGCCAAATTTCATGGTAATACATCCAACTGTTGTGGAGATAAGAGTGAAAGCTGTGGGATCACAGAGGTCATTGTCGTGGGACAAACTTTGGTGTCATTTCAGTATATGTGTGGAGATATTTCCCCGGATAAATGTAAACTTTGTCCTGCTGGTGACTAAAACTTGTCCAAGTTGTCTCCAAGTCTTCTCCAACGATGTTACAACATGTAAAAATAATGCAGTACTGGTCTTTCCTTAAGCTTTACAATGTTAGGCTGTACTGCTGCCCTGTGATTATAAGCCATGGAGAGAGGCCTAGGTCTTTATATATTTCATACTCTTCACAACGGGTCATCACGTCTCCATGAACCTTTTTCACTGCAGCCCACTGTCCACATCTCTTTGTACACTTTCCTCTTTGCCACAATAACTGGCCATCTTTAAAATATATTATTAATATTTAAGACTGATTGTTGTAAAAGACTGATATGAAATATGAAACTGAAATAGGTTGTCATTTCCAATCAGTTGTTCATGCAGAGAGGAATGTTGTCAAGCTAGATCATGCTGCAAACAATAGCCACTTATTTCCCTTTCAACATATTTAGAGCTTTCTGTTTCTTTTTTGAACTTCTCACATATTTTGAGTATTTTATTTATGAAAATTTGTTTGTCCATCTTACCTCAAAGGCGTTTTTCTGTATGACCATGAACTTCAGACTATAAATGTAGCATAGCATGGCAAGTAAATTAAGACTTTTAAAGAATATTTGCTTTAGTTACAAATTTAAAAGTTATCTCCCTAAGTGTTTTCAACTTAAGTTCTATCAAAGGCAAAATCTCAATGGTATGGTTTGTTTTGTTATGTGAGTTTCTGCTACTGAAGAAAAAATAATGTGTGGTTTCTACATATTATGTCACAAACCAATTACCTCAAGACTCATATTATCATGGTAAGGTGCATCAAGTATTAATGTATTAATGGTAAAATGGTATGGGTGATGCGTAAGATCATCGCTGAGCTTCTCATTGGATACAGAATTCCTCAAATGTACACTAGCCCTTCTCACACACAGGACATTCTTAGGCGAAATGTTTTCTGTGATGTGGTCAGTAGGACGTTGGAGGGCAGTCCAGAACCACCGGCAAATATGGCACGGGTGAAATAAGAGCAGCAGTGAGAAACGCAGCGGAGCGCCACACAAGGGCTGAACCCAAAGCAATGGTGCCTTCCCAATGCATTTGAGTCTTGAATCTGCCTCCAAATTTCTCTGTGCTGGATAATTTCCCCCCGACAGCACTGTCAAGAGTAATTACGTTAGATTTGGTTGTAAGGGGAAACCAGCATCAACCATGGGATGAATTGTGAACCAGGGATGGCATGGTTTGATCTTTGGTAGACAAACATAAAACCTGATAGGGTGCCAAATCAGTAGCTAATGTTCCCCTGTTAGAAGTTGAAAAGTTCCCGGCTTAAATATGTGCATTCCCCTTTAAGCATCATGTTCTGTGATTGGCGCTGTATGTTTTCTGTTAACCAGATCAAAGTCATTACCTAAGAGCAGTGGTTCCCAACCTAGAGATCGGGACCCCCACTAGAGCACGCCAAAGCTTCACAGGGGGTCCCGAGGCCTTGTTGAGAAGAGGTGTAAGAAAACTTTACAGATATGCACAGTAGGCTATATCTCAGCAACTGGTTCACTTCTGTGAAGAAAAGTAAATTAATTAAAAGTAAAGTAAATTGTCAATGGCCAAGCACCAGGGACAAGAAAACACTGAATGTCAAAAAAAGAAGCCTACGTCATACATCTGTATGATTGTTAAAAAAATAATAAAAATACATAATACAGAGAGAGAATTGTATAAAAAGTTCCCTGAACAGAAAATAATCTGCTCAAAATCTATCCAAATCACACGTTTTACACAAACTTCCTGCAGTTTCTGAGTTCACTGATTGGCTTCATTGTACAGTTTTGAATATAATATGAAATATATATGTCACATAATCAGGGGTCATCAGTTTACTAAGTGATTGAGAAACGAGGTGAATATGTTAGTGCCGCACTGTCAGCTGTAATTGACAAAAAGCCAGTTCTCTGTTTGTTGAAAAGGTCTGAGGAGTTGAACTCCTTTACCATTATTGGTTAATTCATTCCCTTTTGGCTATTTCTGATGAATGGCACCAATTGAGGCCAGCCCTTAGCAACAGGCCTGTAAAAACATGGAAACGCAACTGCAGGGTTTGTTCCAATCAGAAATGGCTATTTTTCATATGTTGTGTATATTGTTTTAAGGCTTCTAAGCAAGCAACACACCTGCACTCACACACTGTCACACGATTTACACATCTCAGACCGCATATATACAAGTTAAAATGAGGATATAATAGCCACGCATAGCACACCAGCAAAAAAAAAAAACACTCCCAGGTAACTCCACTTTGGCCGGTCCCTTCTGGGGTGACGGTACAGGGTCAATTATGTGGTTTTCAAAGTGATCTGTTTTCTTATATACTTAATATAGTTGTTTTAATTCTTTAGATTTGTGTTGTGTTGTGTTGTGTGTGTTGTGTTTGTGTTTGTTGTGTTGTTTTGTGTTGTGTTTGTCGTTTGTGTTGTGTGTGTTTGTGTTGTGTTTGTGTGTGTTGTGGTTGTGTTGTGTTGGTTGTGTTGTGTTTGCTTCGCTTGTACTTGCATGTTCGTATTGGAAGGAGATATGCTGTCTGGCCCCACCTCACACAGTTTCCAAGAATATAATAAAATAATGTTATAAACAGACAAACAATCCAACTAAACCCAATTTTAAATTCTTTTCAATAATCGTTTATTAATGAATTTAAGGCACTCTGGATGTGCACGAATTTATAAAAAAAGAGCAAATAAATCAGTCACCAGTTGCCCTTGTTTGCTTCAGCCCTACCCTACGTGAGACTGGCTTTCTATTAAAAAGCATGCTTGAAGCTTAATCCAGCAATAGCATACACGGAATCAAATCAGAATCAAAAACGTCAAAGAAGCTTTAAAAAAACGATACAAAATATCCGATCAACCGTGTTACACAGTAAATTCGATAGAGATCTGTAGCATTGTGACTTTTGCAAATAAAAGCTTCTTTGAACATTTCCACTCCACAAACAACAGTGAGGAGCACGTCCGCACAGCAGGTGGAAACTTTGATTTTAAGTCCACAATAATGAGAAAAAATAATTCTAAGTTCAAAAAAAAGCATACACAATTCAGCATGCTTCATATTTTATAAGATAGAGCATTGTGTATCATACATCATAAAGATATGATAGACTCAAGTACAAATATCAAAAATAACCCCCTTACTAATAGCGTTCTTTCCATGCATATCTAAAATACATTATATAGATGGCTATTTTGTAACCAAAAAAGATGATATGAAATACTGTACTGTGTGCGTGTTGCTAAGGCCATAGGGAGTTCTGAATATGAATTCACATCAAAATAATAGATACATATTACGTACATCTTATTTATGAAAAATTCACAGGCAAAACACATCGAGTTCATCTCACCATTTTAGCGAGCAAATCCAATGAACAGGACATAATATATTTATAATAAGAAGCATTGAAAGAATTTTTTTTTTAAAGAAATCCATGAAAAAACTTCATCCATTCACAAACAAAAAAAAAGTTTCATTCTGCAGTTTTTACTGAATTACATGTTGGTTAGGAATTCTTTGAAACTGAAATGAGGCCCTACAAATATTGATAGGAAAGACAATGATAGGCCTGTTCATTAAGGACAGAATATCAAACAGTGGTCACGCGAAACTATTCACAAGATACTGGGAGGTATACTGTAGGCGCACACACACACACACACACACACACACCACACACCACACACAATTTTCTTATCCATACATCACAGCTTTCCATGCAGTCATCTTTGGTTTCCAGCCCAGCAGTAGGCAGCCACTCTCACCTGCGTAAAGGGGACTGGGCTTTTTTTTCTCTCGTGCAAACAATCAAATCTGTCAGAGTGGAAGAGAGTGAAGAGGAGGGGGAGACAGTCGGCAATGCAGTATACGGGACTCAGTGGAAAAAGAATGGCAGATGTCTCAATGCGATACCTGATCTTAAAGAGTCAAACTGTGAGAAATTGGGTTACGGATGGCGATAACACAAATGACAAGTTGCTTGACAGAAAAAAAATTTAGGAATCAAAAAAGGGGAAAAGAGAAAGAAACCGCCTGTTTCCTTACTGGAAATGTTGGCCTAAAGATTTCTGTACACATCCTCGGATCTTGTCATCAGTATGTCCACATTATTTGAAAGGGTTTACGAACATGATTCAAATCAGTCGCCAAGATTGTTTTCTTAAAACAGCAAAGACACTTAATTTCCTTCAACGAACAAAAAAACATGCGCACTCAACAAATGTTCTCCCTAGCGACACAGCAAAACAGACTTCCAATCCCATCAAACAGGCGATTACAAAGATGTTCATGTGCTTTGGGGCTGCAGCCACTGAATAAAGTTGTTTGTCTACACGGGATGACATTTTGGCTACAGTAACTTTTCATTTTGAACAGCACTTTCTAATCTCTACTCCTTACTCCTGACTCTGATGACTAGATACAAGAAGTGCTTTTTACTATTTGTATACGATTAAAGGACAGGGAAATGGGTAAACAGTTTTAAAAAAAAGAAAAAAAAAAAAAAAAAAAAAAAAAAGCACCATTATTATGAATTGGCCTGTCAACTAAACAAAAAAAAAAAAAAAAGCACATTATTATGATTGACTGTATATAAAGTGTTGAGGGAGCAAGCCAGCACATTTACATAAGGAGTTATATAGGAAAACCACTGTACATAATTAGCCTATATATATATATATATATATAAAAATAAAAAGTTAAGCAAGACTCCATTTTGATGTGAATTAAAAGCTCAGCTAAAGGCAGATGACTGACCACCGCCACCAAGATCTGCTCTACATGATAAAGGCAAATACACAAAAACACACACACACACAAAAAGAAAATTCAATTAGATGCTGAAAATATTGGATATGCTGGAATTTGAAAGGCTGAGCTGAATTCACTGACTAAGCTTAACGCTACACAGAGGAACTGTACGTTGGCCTTGGTGTACAGATCTAAACATTATCACTATTCTCACTCACTGATAATTTCACGGACCATGGCAAGAGGCAAAATTATGTGTACAGCATCCAATATGGTCCACGTTTTGATACAAAAACCAGACAGATATAGACCAGCATCTTTGTGTGGGACCACCTTCTAAACAAGACCCTAGATATTTGTACACAGATACAGGATATGTGCGCCGTAATTGTAGTAACGGTCCTGCACTCGGTACTCACTGTAGCAGCTTCTCACACACACACACACACTCACTCAAGTGGAAACAAAAACTATCATCTTCACTCATGTATTCATTGGCGCTGAGACAAGCAATGAGTCAGACTGTTGTGACACAGTGTGACTGCTGGAAACTGCAGCTACTGCTCCACTAAACCCAATATTCAAAATAATGTAAGGTACTAGTGAAAAGACAGAAAAGAACAAGATTCTAAGGCATCACAAGGTTTAACCAGCGACCACAGCGCTGTAGATACATAAACTCATAGAGTCCAACTTTAACCCTTCACCCTTCACTGTGGCTCCCTTGGAAGAATAATCAGTGACGTTGTGGGAATCAAGGTGGAGAGCAGTCACCTAAGGGTTGATCAATTCAGGCCCATTGTTTTGTTTGTTTTTTTATAAATCGGGTGTTTCGATCACCCAAATCAGTGCCCCACTGTTCACATACAAGTATGATGTTGATTCTCCACAAACTAATTCCTCCACACACTGACGAAAACCCAATGAGGTGAAAACCCACCCACTGAAGTTATGGCAGAGTAAAACATATAGTAGTCTCTTAGGATAGACTATTTCTCTGAGTGGCCCTCTTTGAGTTTGGCAAGGGGGTTTGGCTGGGACTTCTGCTGGGACTTTTGCTGGGACTTCTGTTGGGACTTCGGCAGGTGCTTTGATATATTTCTATTGGTATCGGCCCAGAATTTCCCAACGGGTGCAGGTTTTCCTTCAGCTTTGGTAGGAGGTGGTGTTCGGGGAGGTGCATGTAGACCATCCTCAGTGCCGATGTTGACAGTGATGTTGGTGTAGAGGGGCAGGTATTGCAGTGAGATTGTCTCATATTCAGCTGTGTTCATTCCATCCGTCTTCCAGGTCTGACGTGTCTTGGCCAGCATGTTAAACCTTTGAATCAAGAGCAAAGACAGAGCAGTGAATATTGAAGGCTGCATACCATCACATGCATGCAAATTAAATTCAGATTTGCTACAAACTTCTGTAAAACTGGATGCATCAACTTGTTTACTGTACCTCTTTGGGTTTACATCGTTGCCTTTGTCCAGCTTATGTTTAATCATCTTGTAGCGGCCAACCTTCAGTGATGGACGAGTGATGTACATCCCTGCCAGAGACACTCTGAGAAGATGAGAAACAAGTGTCAGTCATGAGGACACCAACATTGTGGTCTTGTATCCATAACAGAGTTGAAGTGGGGTCCTTTTTGACTCTCTTTTTGGTTAGTGTAGCCTCAATGTCACATCAGAGGTCAGGGAACATCAATGTCTGACTGGCTACAGACGCATTATTCACTAAACTATTCTCACCTGACTCCAATATCGTCGTCCTCTCCACCCCAGCCCCAGTAGTTATTGGGAAAGCCGTTCATTTTGAGGTAGTGCAGTGGCGTCAGAGCTGACACTCCTCCAAAGTACATCTTGTACGGAAGCCTGGAGAGGATTAAAGATTTTAAAAAAGTATTTAAATTCAATGTGAAACACAGAATGTGCTATGTGTCTAGCTGTGAAGAGCGAACCCTTCAATGAACATTCACAAATGTAAAAGGACATACTTGTAGCCAAACTTGTCCATGGCGATGGCAGCGTGCTTGGGGTTGGAGTCGCACATGTATGTGTTGCGATCGTCCTCTGGAATGAGGTCCACATCATGGAAGAAGAGACAGTCCCATTCTTCCTCTTTCATGGCCTCCCGGAAACCCACATTCATCAGCTTGGCCCTGTTAAATGTGTAGTTTCCAGCCTGAGAGCACCGGAGAAACACTTAATGTCAGAACAGGCTGTGTGTTACAATGATCTCACCTTACACACCAGTCTACGAGTATTTAAACGGGAAGTACCTGAGCACTTTTGAGCCCAAACTGAGACTGTGATAAAATGAGAACTTTTGATCTACAGTTTTGCTTTATAGTTTTAATACACAAAATAGTGTGTCATGATGCACAATAAAAAAACGTATCCCATGATAAATGATAAACATAGATATACTGCTCATCTCTACCTCAATGTTAATGTTGCATTATATTTTCAGGCCTTATTCAGATGTTAATGTTTTATTCATCCAACATTTATTCAAACCCATCTAGGTTTATTTTGAGGTATCCTCTAAGCCGAGGCAGGATTAATCATAAGAAGCAAGATTCAACAATATGACTGTGCAGAAATCCAGCTCAAGAGGTATAAGAGCTTAAGTGCTGAGGAGTAAACATGAATGAATTGTTAGCAGCTAAGGAGATTAAATCCTCTAAACCACTTGAGCATTCTCATCCTCTTACATCTACTGAAAGCCCACCAGAGGGCACTCTTCATCTAGCCTGAACTGTAGGCACCAAACCAAGGACACAGTGTGCCTACAGGTCAAATTTACTATATATTAGCTGTAAATATCTGACAGAAAATGTCCCTATGTTTCATCCAAATATAAAATCTATATTAATCAAAAGTAAAATGTTACTTCAATCCCTTATTCACCCTTTGAGACAATATATGACTTGGTTGTGTGTGTTTCACCTGGTGAATGACGTAAATTCCATAATGAAGCTGTTGTCGCTGCAGGAAAGGATGTAGGTAGTACAACAGGAACTTAAGGTGGTGTTCTCTGTGTCTGTGGGGAATGATGATGGCAGTTCGGTGCCTCGCCTCACAGTCGGGCGGCCTGTACCGTCCACCGCGCACCACCAGTGGATTTTTTCTCTGAACCTCTGCTAGAGTGAGCCCTGATGGAAAGCTGACATGGATTGGCCCACCTGTGAGCAGAAATGGGTCAGCTGTCATTACCAGTAGGAAACACGATATGTTTGATGGAGTGAAGGCAAATAGTCTGGTTAGACGACGAGAGCCTATGATTTGAATGTGAGGTCGCAGCTCAAACTTTTCTTTTTTGTCTCACATGCTGAGCTGAACTTGTGTTAGTTTGATGTGGTCGTTAATGTACAAATACCAGTTTTAACACTTCAAACATTCGATATTCCAGATCTTCAAATGTGAGGATTTTAGGCTTTTCTCAGTCAAGGTTTCTGCAAGGTAAATTTAAGACTTTCTAATAACACATAGAATCAAATGTAATATCCTTTTCACGATCATATCAGCCTAAGTATTAAAGTATGATAGGAAACCAGTAGGGAAATATGGCCTAGAATTATGTAATATACCACTGGTTTTCAGTACTTCCCAGCAGGATCTAACAATAATTTCTAATGATAATTTCATCAACACGATAATTAGACAATACAATAACATTGTATAAAATGCAAAATTATTCATTGAGAAATAAAAATTCTGATATTAAATGGTAATATAAATGTCAATGACATTTGTGTTTTGCCAACACGGGCCAATCAACCTGTTGTGATATTCTACAACGAAAAAATTCCAACGTGTACCCCACTAAATCTGGCTGGGGTATTCCAACCTGTTTTGACTATTCATTCTCTCTTCCTCAAAGCTTTGTCAGTAAACCTCCAGCTGGTTTCTGTTCCTTTGTTTCTGCTGCCTGACCGATGTTCAGCAACACCTCAATAACCTTTATCCATTTTTTTTTTACTAGGAAAGCAGTCAATGCCTTGTAGCTCAGTTTTCACAATGAGGTTTAAGATTACTGGCAGTAACAAAAGGGCTGAGAGCTGAACCCAGGGAACAGGAAACTAAGCCTATTTTGACAGTGCATCTCAGGTACACTGAACAAACATTAAGCCGTCTCACATTTATCTAGGTAATGTGTAATAAGTGTGGAGGAGGAAGTGGGGAGGGCAAAGACAAATATATAAAATAAATGGAATGTACCAAAGGTCACTTACTACCCCCAAGCTTTCAACAGTATCTCATTGTCTTCATCAGTGGATGGAGTTTGCTCAGTTTGTCATCACACAAACTGAGATGATGATGTGGTCGAAAGAAGTGAAGTTGAAAGCTAGGAAGCAGAATTTGACTTTTTGGCAAACTGCTATTTACAAAACCGTGTTAGGTTACCCGGTAAGTCAACTTTAAAGTCTGCAAGTTTTCATTCATTCATTCTGTGTTGACTGAGTTAAGCATGTAAGCTTTCATCCATATTGAAACCATCATGGTTGCCAATTTGTCACTACATCCTAGTTTACATTGATGTATATGGGCAATACAGTATGTATGCTTGCTGTTTCATTGTACACAGTATGTGTCTGATTTATCGTATAAAACACACTATTGAACTGGAGAAGTCATCATCACAGCAATATGTCATTCTGGAAAATGACCAGGTATGTTTTTTTAAACATTAATGCTGTATTTAAAAATGTGTGTGTGAAGGACAGAGAAATCTACCTTCAGTAACATGGTCTAATCAGGTCCTTTGGAATAACACAGAAGCAGGGGAGACCACTCACCTACATAAGGGGACTTCTTAGGGCACAGGGGCATGTCATCTCCATGGCTATGAGCTCTGGATAGGTGGGAGAGGTTGGCGTATACATCCCCTCCAGGGATGCCAGTTGTTGTGTGGTTGCGACCAAAAAGGCCAAAGGTGTCAGGCTTGCGGAAGATGCGGATGAAGTAAGAGACCCTCTTCTGGTATCCCTCTCGGGACAGCAGCGCCATGACCACGAGCTGGATGCCCAGAAACATGAAAAGGTAGCGCCATTTGGACTGGATACTGACCATGGCGACGGCTCCGGGTCGGCGAAACGACAGAGGTCGGGAGGAGGCAGTGCAGAAAGTCAGCTGGTCTGGAACAACCTGACTCTCAGTGATTTAACGCTGGTAAACTCTCCCCAAGCAGAATAAAGTTCAGGAAGGAGACGATTGAGGAAGGAGACGATTGTCAACTGTGAATTTGATGGAGGCTGGTGATGTGGCAGTTTAACATCCACGTGCAAAGTCAAATATACTATGTACCTTCTCTAAAATATGGCAATGTGACTGTTATTATGTGTAAAGTTAAATGCAATAATCTGTGGCAATATGGAGGATGAATATAGAACAAGATGTGTGAAAAAAGTAACACAAAAAAAAGGCACTTTTGGTAGGCTGTAATTAAAAAGAAAACTCCAAGGAGAGGAAAAATAGAAAAATATTCTGAACCCAGAAGAAAAGTCTTGTCAACTTTTCTCTATTTCACTGCATTCCTTGCTGCAGGTCACTATGTGGCAAATATCTCCAAAGTTGACTGTCGGTCCAATTTGTGATTGGCGTAGGGTGGTAATGCCAGTCCCACATCATGTGGTTTCACCCCCAATAAATTCCATCCGTTGCCTCGTGAAGTTCATTCTCCTGCGGTCAAATAAATGCCAATGTCAGAGTCTCTCACTCACTCACTCTCTCGCTCCCTCTTCCTCCCTTTGTGAGCTTTATGCTGCCTTCTGTTCTCCCTCATGTTCTCTCCTGAGGGAGGCCTCTGCAACAATAACAGCCGCCATGACAAAAGGGAGCATATGCAGCCGTATAGGCCCTATACTTTTCAGGGGATTACACAGCCTCCATCCACTCACTGCCTGACTGGCTGGGGAGACAGGGGGAGTGGACCATGACCAGCGTGGGAGGAGTGGTCAGAGGGTTGCATGTGTGTGTGTGTGTGTGTGTGTGTTTGTGTGACTGTGTATTTGTTAGGGGGAGGGTTTCAACAGAGCAATGGGAGAGGAGACGGAGGAAGAGAGGAGGAGGGAGAGTTTTGATCCCCACTGCTATTGTCTCATAATGATGCAATCCACCGCTATTAGACACCTAGCAGCTCACTGGGCTGGTCGCCACCAGACTCACTGGATGGACAGGAGCTGAACCAATCACTGCAGCACGGCTCTGAAAGACAAAACACAGAAGAGGAGGAGGGACCGTTACGTTGACTGACACCCTTTGGTTCAAACTGTTGACATCAGCGATTTTCTACTTCCAGCAGAATGTCTTTCCCATGCAAACAATGACTAATTGTGTGCAGTGCGGGCCAAACAAGTGGATTGTGTTTGTTTACAGGGAGACTCAACAGCACAGTTGGATAGCCTTAACTAATCAGGCACAGCATGGGCTCCAGTGCAGAAGCCCTCTCAACCACCCAAGAGAGCCCTGCTGCCCACAGTGGATGGCAGACGGGAAGCCATGCACCGCCATGTGTATGAAACTTCCCAATCTAGAGCCAACCAACTCTGTGGCCCTGTAGTTTTCTGCTGTTGTGTTTGCCAACCTTGCGTAACCCCTACCACTGCTCTGATGCCGTCTGCTGCAGTATCCAACATATCCTTGGTTGCAAAATCAATTAGTGCTTGTTAAAGTAGCCAGACTAAGGCCGCTAATCCTAATCCCACTGAATGCTACAAGACTGGTGGCGGAGAGACTGAGAGAGAAATAAGGTAAAAAGAGCAAGAGCAGTTGCCAACCTCTCACCTAAACATAGTACTATTACTAGTTTTACAGCTTCTAGTTTACAGTTTGCATTGAATGAAAGGGACATATAGAACTGAAATGCATCCCAGTGAACTTGAACCTAACTCATGGTAACGTTCTACTGTTATGGCCTTCATAAACACATTTTTATATTTTGACTAACAACTTCTAGAAATTGAGAGTGCAGACGTTTAAATGCCGGTTATGCTCATTCCTACTGTATCAACAGTATGGTGTTGACATCTTCAGCCCTTCGTGTATGGCTAATTACACAGGGGAAAACAATGCATTATGGGCACTCCTCTTTGCAGAGTACATTAGATATCAGAAGCAGTTTTCTTATGCTATTAACGCAGCTTGTTAAGAGAGAGAGAGAGAGAGATGGAAAACAGCAAAGATGAAGAAGAAAAAACACACAAGTGCTCTGCCAAGAGATGGAAAAAAGACAGAATACTACTTAGGGTGCTTCGATTGATTGGTCACCGATCGTAATCGGATGATATGCGCTCTAATTAGTTTAGCCGAACAGCTGACGCATTAATTTTATTCCTCGGTAGAGTTTTTCATTCTGAGAGAAACAGAGAGAGAGAGACGTTATCTGGTGGATGTCACAAGCACAGAGCGATGAAAACGGAATTACGGGTGAAAAACGTTCAAAACGTGAGTTGTGTTTCCTGGGCCACTTTATAAAACATACTGCTGACCAAAGTAACGAAGCAGACACCGCCTGTATACGGAAAGAGGAGCAGACAGAGGCGGGACAGCCGGTGGGTGTGACAAGTGAAGATGAGGAAAAAAGTAAAGTGCACAAAGTATTTGTGAGCAAACAATAAAACAGGTGGATCATTAAGTAGAATTAAAATGGTGAAATAAGAAATTGATAATGAATAAATAAGGCTACACTAGAAACATAAGTCTTTAGATTTGTATCGGCCAATACGGCTTCTAGCGATCGGCCTCAAAAACCCTAATCAGAGCAACTACCTACTCTTTGTTCCATTATAACTAAATGACACAAGTGATTCATTATAAATATTTGTCTTGATCATTTCCCGCAGCATTACTTATTAACATCTAGTTTTTAAAAAGGAGTCAGCTCTGCAATGCAATGTTGTTTTATAACACACAGCCTGCTTGAACTACACACAGATATTGATGACATCCGACAAGCTGAACTGTAGTGTTGGTGTATTTCTGCATTTTGCTTTGACAGCTGACTCTGAGGATTTTCAGTTCAAGGATAATAAAGGTTTTTCTCTTCGGGGATATGTGTATCAAAAGGGAGAGGAAAGCCTCTGCCTGCCGCTGCAGATGATCTTCATCACGCATGTGGAACTGTGAGCAGATGGAACATTGACCCCTCTCACTTTGCCTGGCACCTATAATAACCCCATAGATTATGGATATGACTTATAAAAGATCCCGCCATAAAGACTCGGGTTAATCCCGCAGTGAGGAAATCCACCACGCTGAAATGTGATCCAGAGCACAAAAACAAGTGACCTGGAAAACAGTCGTCTATTTTTCTTTTCTTTTTTTTTTAAAGCTAATTGGTTCATGATCTTTGAGGCTCACAAGATTAAACCTCTCGAGACTTCAAGGACAAAACAGCTGATAAACTCAATGCAGTGTGCAGGTTTGAACCACTAAATGACTAAGCATCATTCATTAGGAAAACCCCCAGAGACCGAATTCAAGCTATGACACCCTCCTCCTATTCTTCCATAATCCAGCGTCACATTAGTTTGTAATGAGGTATATGAATGTCTTTACAAGGGGGGGAAATGATAAGCCTGGTCTGCTTTAGTGCCTGAGGGCCATATTGTTGCTTGAGCTGGCTTGTACAGTGAGAGAACTTGGCAACAGGCACCTCCTTCAACAAAGCTCAGGCACTGACTTAACACACGCATAAAAGAGACCCAGTGACTAGATTTAGACGAATCTTTCTGTGGAGCTAAAAGGCTGAGGATGAGGAGTGAACCAAAGAGAGGGGAGGACAAAGCAAACTAAGAGGAGCCGGAGGGGGAGAGGGACAGCAGCCAACAGTCTGGTTACACTATGTTCTTTTGACTTCATTGTTTCTCCTGCACGATATCCTTCCTTTCTGCATTCAGAATTTTAAAAAGGAGGCAGGTTTGGCTTGGCATATATCATACATGCACGCCAAAGCAAGCCTTTTCTGGTCTCTCTTCTTATTTTTTATATATATTTTTTAACCTCTTTGTGCAATGATTGGTTTAAACAGCGATGGCACTTAACAGCCAACAAAGGGGACATTTTTCTTTCTGCCCATGGGGCATTAATGTTACATATATGCGCTATGTCCACGTGCGTGCTTGCACACACATGAATGAATGCAAGCCAAGAGGGCTGGCATGGGGGTTAGATAAAGAGCAGACAAGAAAATACAAAGAGATGGGGTTACAGAGTGTGGGAGTTATATATTTAGATCATCTTCTAGGGACAATAGTTTATGGTCAGCACTGCCGTTACTAAAAGGACAGCAAAGAACTCATACACAGTCTTTTCACAGTCATAGCAGCCCCTGAAGGAGGTAAACCTTCAGTGGGGGTCACCACAGAAGAGGTTTACCTAACCAGACATTCCTACCGAGTCTCTAACAGCCCTAACACCTGAGTCACCTTTCTTCTTTCTTTCCTTTTCTCCCCTCTCTGGTCAGTAGCATTTATGCACAAAAACCTCACATTTCCAACACCAAAGGTTGCTACCTGTCAAGGGTTATTTAACAGTTGGTGGTTATCTGAGCCAGAAATTCCAGGCACAGCTGGTTCACATCAAATGAGTAGAGCACAGAGCAGAGATGTGACCCATTCCCACTGGAGTAAAATGCTGTTTTACTAAAATGTCTGCAACTGTCTTCAAAGCAGTGACAAAAGGTCAAGACGAAAAGCTATTAGGTATTGGAAAATGGTTTCTAAAATCCTCAGTAGCAATATGTGTCTTAGCCAGAACCTGCAAAGGGAAAAATGTCTATTATTTATTAAGTAAGCAGTGACAGGAGAGATAGAAATGCTCACTTATGTTCTGCATATTTTTACCAAAAAAGTAGATAAAATAGAGGAGGGAAAATCTGGCCACACAACCTAGAATAGATGGAAAGGTCTTTAAAACCTCTTAACCCCACTGAAGCACATAGTAAGGCTCTGCATTAGGGGTTGAAGCTTTCACATCTGCCCGAGTATGTCATCATTCCTATATGTGCCAGCCTATTGAGGACGAGCGAGTGCTCTCCAGTCTTAAACGTGTGAGTGACCTTCCTGTTCAATCTGCTAAGCTACTACTGTTAGAGGGGGGAAAAGTCCATCAAATCCCACTCGCTTTTACAAAAACATTCACTTTAAATGCTTTTATTCATGGTTACAGCAGAAGACTCCTGCATGCTATAAGAACTCTGCTATCCATCGCGCCTAAATTATTTATCTAACTACGGGCAGCAGGTCAAGGTAGCAGGACACAGTGACGGATTTATACACGTCTAACATCTAAGATGGCCATCAATAGGAGAGGCAACGGCAACTGATTTCATTAAAAAAAGGCATCTTCTACCAGAGAAGAACTTATCAGTAAAATTTGATTAATGAATGAAGCAGAACTCTGTATTCTGTGATTAGATGGAAGGTCAGATCTGTGGCTGCTTAAAGAGATGGAAATGGGTAGAAACACTAAAGTCTGGTAGGAACAGAACTTAGGATCGGAAGCGAGATAGTTGATAGTTGGGCGTTGCAAACTTATGTGTCTACGTTGCTGGGAATTTGCAACAAGACTGAGTCATGGCAGAGAGGAAGAAACGCTCCAAAGCACAGTGCTCGTTGTAATATCTGTAAAAAGTTCATTTGGAGTGAGGGTGGAAACAGATCTTTCTATGCAGCGTGGGCTTACATTCAAGGAATTACATGTATTTGATACTCTCAAACCAGTGCCACTGATTCCCACCTGAGCAGCTCACCCATTAAAAACATCCAATTTACAAAGCTGAAAATGCAAATTAATAGCAGTGGAGCTTTGACACACCTGAGTCACACAGGAGTAGTTTTTTCTACTGTTTCTACACCGTGTTCAGGCTCAGAGTTCATAAAACAGTCACGCTGAAACTGAAAAACCTCTGTAGGCCTACTTGTTTTCTACACAGAATATTCATCAGAAATCAATAAAGAAACGGACCAATAAGCCCTGTCAGTAAATGCCTTGTGTTCAGAGTCAGATAGGTGGGAAGATATCATAAAACAGTTAACATCAGTGGTAGTTTGCTTTCTTTTATTACCTCTAGGACCTGGTGTTATTCTACTGCAGGGCGATGAGGAGCACTCTCTCTGGATCTCTGGACAAGGGTGTTCCTATAGTTTATACGCAAATAGTTAGTTTAAGCTTTATATATGTAGTTTGTTTGATTTTCTCCCTCCCTTTGTGGATTTCTTTATACTTTCCCAGTGCATGAGTACACTCCAAGTGACGTACATTTCATCATCAGAGGGGTGTACGTACAGGCTCTCTGGTCACTACCAATGGCCGAGCGGCTAAAAAAAGAAAACAGTATAAACAGAACTACAAGGCTGCCTGTGTACGTGTGTGTTTGGGAGTAAAGTCAGGCCTTGAAGATCTCAATGAATCATCAACACCTGTAATGATTCACAGACACGGCTAAATTCTGACCTCATTCTAATCCAATTAGCAAACGCACAGTGCCATGGCTGAACAGGCAGAGTAACATTTTACGCCAGGCAAGTTGAACAATTCACCTTTTTTAAAACAATTTTTCCTCTCTCATTTAGACAGGAGATGATTCAATGTCAATTTCTTTTTGGGCTATATTAGTTTGTGGTTGTGTTGTATTATATTTATATCTTGCATTAAAGTTCACATGATTTGAACACACCAGGTTTCTTTAGAATCACGCTGGGCGACCCGTTCGCATCAGGGCAGTGCATTGGGATATAAAGTCTGGAATGAAAGCATTATCCCCTGGAGATTATTCAACCGTTACTCAGCCATGCAGCATTAACAGGAATGATTGTATTGGGTTATCATTTCCTCGTTCTTAAAGACCGAGATCAGGCTTAGCAAACCAGGCCCTACCTATAAACTACAAGGTCAAATTCCTCACAATGGATTTTAAAGAAGTAGTTATTGCCACGCCTGAAAACTCACGCAGCGACGACCTGCGAGTGTGAGCTAATTAACAGAAGTAACTGGTTTAGGAACTGGTGTTTAATACTGCACATAAGAGTGAAACTGATTTGGACAGATGTGGCCAGCAGACCGCAAACAGCTCTTACGTAACGGATTGGCTTCTTCACTAGGCTGCCGGGACATTAGGGAAATATTCTGTACACAAACCACCACCGGCCTTCAACAGACTTGAGGTAAAAACGTTATTCAAATTCTGTATACGCAAGCAGGCCTTTTCTCTCTCAGGCGCTAACCAAGCAAGACCAGGCAATGAAATAATGTGCAAACATGCCCTGAGAAAAGAGGTGTCTGCATAACAACGCGTGCCAGCGTCCTTGTCATGGCAACCCATCCCGAGCTCCGGCCATTCATCGTGGGTGCAGCTGGTACACGTCTCTGTGGCTGTTCCCTCGAGTACGACTCTGCTGGGACAGACTGCTGAGGAGAGGGGGGAAAAAAAACACATCATCCTCCTCCTCCTTCCTCCCACTTTTCCTTCTCATCTTTCTTCCTCTGTTGTCTCGTGCTGTCTCCATAGTGTTCACCTCCAGCTATAACCAACCCACCGGGGACAATGGTTTGCATACTTAGCAAAGACAACCATGGAGATCAGGAAATGCCCATGGGGCTAGAAAACCCACAACAAAACGAGCAACAGGTTACACGGAAAGAAGACAGTTGATACCGGTGTTCCTGTGCCATTTAGCTTATTTAAACAGAAATGAAACTGCAAAGAAATGAAACACACGAAACACACTGGGGACTGCCAACGGTTGTTTCATGTGAATATCTAATGCGCAAAGATACAAGGAACAAAAGTATGTCAGATAGTAAGATCATATCCGAGAGCTGATACTGAATAATCAGTTTACAAAAAAAAAACTATTATCTATGGGAGCTGTGTTTTAACCTTGAGATCATTCAAACTAAATATCTTTGTTATTTTAAGCCAGGGTCTCAATATCAATAAAGTGACAATATTTTGGATCGAACAATTTTAACTGGGGAAAGTACTATGGTCTGTTAGGAAGTATAACACCTCCCAGTGACGTATATACATATCTCAAATGGAATTATTTAGTGATTTTTAGGCACAATTTTAGTCTTTATAAAGTAAATGGATACTTGTTCAAAAGAATAGAGATTGATGAAAGAACATCTGTTGCAGCAATGTGCAAGATGATATTTAAAAAAAAAAAAAAAACCTGCCACAGTCGCAATCAACCTCAATATCGCAATAACCTGCGATAACTGCCAGTGGTCATGTGCAGAGGGGGAAGCTTTTATTCTCTGCCACCACTTACATAACCGAGACAGGAAAAGTAGAGATCTCAGAAGTGAAGATTGTATGTTGTTTTTTGACATCTTGGTGCTGAGCTGTATGACTACGTTACTATGACCAGTTATTGTACAGTTATCATTCGTGAGAAATGTTTTTAAAAGAGTACGTATGTCACAGAGACAGAGGCTGTCATACCTAGTTGGAGGTCTCTTCTTAATATAAGAGAGAGCAGTTGCGTAGTAAGTGTTGAAAGACTGTGTGTGCAGAGTGAAAGCTTCCCGGAACGCATTAGTGCGTCTGATGAATTTACACAAATGGAAATAAAAACTGGGTGTGATGGAGTACACACAACTGAGCACACAGTGTGTAACCTAAAACAAAGATAACATCTCCTATTGCAGGGTAAAATACTGGTCGTTCTTCTGTTTCCTGCACTCAAGGTTGTCAGGTCTGTGGTTTTCCTGTATAATATAATTACTTTTGAAATATTGCCGTCGGTTAAATTTTGTTGTCAGCTGTTGGGTAGACCCACTTTGCATGCAAATTACATGAATAACTCTTTTTGCAGTAGGGAAACGAATAAATCTACAAAAAGGTAAGCATTTCTGCCTTGTCGAACCTCATCCAACGTGTGAGACACAGAGCTCAACGGCTGCACACGGTCCCTGTTGCTGCGTGGAGCGCATTTGCATGCGATTTGTGCCAGTGCTGCAAAACAGAGATAATTATTTCTCAAATAACTAACAGAACATTAAGCCGGAGCCAAACTGATGTGACAACAGATAAAAGTCATTCGACAAGGCAAACATATTCCAATACCGATGTTCGGCCGATATATCGGTGCATTTTTATATTAAAAGCTGTGTGTATGGTTTGGCATTTTTTTTGTTTTGGTACAGGGTTCCCACTCTTTTTAAGAAATCATTTTCCAGAAGTTTTCTTGACAATACAGGACAACACTTGCTCATATAATATACATATATTATATATAATTTACAGGTAGTTTACACAGTTTTATTCCTCCTTCTTTAATGATGCAAGCTTCATGTCGAAGTGACGCAAGGTCATTACGGGTAGGTGGGTCAGCGTTTACGGGACACTGTTTTTCCACTCATTTTCCGCTTTCTGTCTCCAGTTATTTCACAGTTTAATGCCGTTTTCATCAAACCTAGGTTACTGTACATGACTGAGAGAATAAAACACAATCCCATTTCTCAAACATAGATTATTTCCAGGATGTTTGGTGGTTTTAATCAATTTCTAAGTGGCCCCAATGACTGGAAAACCAGTTTCTAAATATCAGTGTTCTCCAGGACCACTGACAGTATGGAAACCCCTGTTGGATTTGAGCTGATTTTGGCCCACAGACCTGCCTGCATCGCTCCTTTCATTTCTCAAGTACTTAATCAATCGGATGGGGGAGGGGCCGCCGTGTAGAGCCTTTTGTTCAGCTGAGGAGGGTACACATGAAACTAAGTTACATGAAACTACTGCACAAGAATAGAGGCCACGAAACTTGTTTCAGCTGGAAGTCAAGCTGCCAAACCGAGAGAGAGAGAGAGTAGCACGAAATGTCGCAATCAAAGAGTATTTCTTCCAACACTTCTGCATATGTGTGTCTAACTCAACCCTGTCATGAGTCCACAGCTATTAATACCCCGAGTTGTTGCCCATCCCAGTTGTGACTAAACTTATTTACAAACTTTTTTTATTTTATTTTTTTATTGCTTGTGTCGCCTCTGGGCTTTTAGCTGTAACACAAGACGTGTGGCAACTTGTAGGGCAACCTAACTTGCAAGTTTTGATAACTAAAAGTTACGCAAGACTTTTTTTTTTTTGAGTAACGTACAGTCATTGAGCGAATACTGACATTAACGTACACAATGTTGGTTATGTAGCTACTGCTGAGTTAATTAACAGAATAAATAAGGCACATTTAACAGTTATAGCCCAGAGACACCCTCATTAAGGCCACTGTTGGAGCAAAATGGGCGTTAAGCGGTGTATTGACGTTATTCGTCGCAGTATTTAACAACGTTACCGTTACTTTACCGTCGGTAACTAACCTGTGTTCAACTCAAAAGCAAGAGATAATCGGGCCACACTTCCAAAACGACAAACCCCACAATCCTGCTAACTGTGTAGAGGAAACTATTCCCTCCCAACCCCAGCAGACAGGCGTCCAGCTGTGTCGGGGGAGACGAACCCGTGGCTAGTCGCTGTTTGGGGTTAAAACTGACGGTAGCTGCACAGCTAGCCTAGCACACGGCGGTGTTTTTTATTTAAGGTGTAAATAATACGTTTAATGGTTTTATTCTTACCCGTCTTGCAGGCAACCTTTGGGTTGGTTTAGTAGCTGTTAGCCGCCGATATTCCCCCTCCCTCCTCCGTATTTCCTATATGTTATGAAGTTGATGGCGAGCGGACGGACGATGAGCCACAGTGTCGGAGAGAGAGAGTGAGCAGAGTCAATGTCGCACAGCAGCTTTCCTCCTCCCCCTTCAGTGGAAACACCGAATTACATGAGGCAGAACAACACATGTGGCCTTTTTTATCACGAGATAACACACTGAGTCACTCCTGGTTGTTCTGGGAGAAATAATAATTCATCTCTTGGTTGAATTGAGTGTCTGTATGTTCAATTAACACGTGGGAAATGCAGCGATCACACAATCGATACTCTTCTGATAAAGCTGAATCCAGGGTAATAAAAATCACTGGCAGATGAAATGCTATTACATATCTGTGGGTAAGCGTTGCAAATACATGCAGCTGTTTAACACTCGAGGGTGAGGATTTAGTTGGACTTTGTTGGGCAGATAGGGAGATCTGATGTGGATCGAGACTAAAAAAGCAAAACCATGATCAGGTTTAACCTGTTAAAAATAAAGCACATGGTAACCACGTTTAGTCAAACGAGAACTAACGTCATTGACCTAGTTTGCGTCGCCTTTGAGTTTGGTTTCGATTTTTGTAAATCTAATCAAAGGTGAATCAAGTGGTTAAGTCTTATTTAAAAAAACATTTAATCAAGTGTGGATTAAGTTTGTTTTGCTTGTACATTCAATTATATTAAAGTTTGCAAAGTTTGCACACATAACAATACTGACTGAATCTGTGGTTTACATATTCCATGTTTTCAATGCACAACTTGTAACAGATGGGGCATACCTCAACAAATAACTTGATACAGAGCAGGTCTATGCCATGTCCCTTACATTAAAACAACAGGTTTAACTTGTTGGTCATTCATCATTCAACAATAAAACATCTGTGTTGTATGGTTGTTGTTTTTTTTGTTCTAGAGCTTATATTTGTACATTTATGAATTAATCATGATCAGCTTGATGTGATCTTCCTGATCTTTCACTGTTTAAATAAAGCTACATGTTCTAGAACAGCACTCAAAATAAAAGAAAACAACACATTTCACATTTCAACCTGAAGGTTAAGTTACATTACAGAGTTAAGGTAAGTGACAATCGTTTATTTTTTTATTAATTCATCTGACAAATCATAAAATGTCAGTTCTGATTAATACAAATCAATCAGAAATACAGTATGTGATTACATGAAAATATCAATAAACGCATTATTATTACTCTTTTCTATGTTTTTGATGAGACAGATTTAGCAAAATGGCTGAGTTATTTAATGACAGGCACTCAGCAGCCCAAACCAGCATGGATGCTTTGGTGTCAGCTTTGTGGTGTAGACTATTCCCCGGACAGGACTTTGGACAAAACCACATCCTGGATCAAATCTTTGCCAGGATGTCTCACCGGCCAGAACTGGCAACCCTGCAGCTCTGTCACTACTATTTTGACCAGGTCACTTACAACCTTCCTAGCAGAGACCAAGTGAAACACAGGTGGGTTCCACTTCCGTCTACATCCAGTCATATTCAGAGGGTTCCCAAACTTTTAACGGGTGTTTAATGGATCAGAATAACCATTTTTAGATTCTCTCATTATTTTTAATTCAAATACAGTCTGAGCTTTTCTTCAAGGGACTCTGGTCCTCATCCTGTCCATGTAAATTCACACAACTGGTGTACAAAAAGTGGTATTTTGCTGTATAGCTTGGTGTGCATTTGTTTCACTGTTACTGCCGTTTGGCTGCTGTAATGAATGATCTTCCCCCCACTTGTGGCCTGAAGGGAGAGCTGCAACCTCGGGCTGCACTGGTTCGACGGATGGGCGGACTTAACACAGGAAAGGCAGAGGGCCACTGAGCAGCATGGAAGACTGCATTTAAAGACTAAACAAGAAGCTGGGCCCGCACCTGGCATCCATTTGAGTCGACTCTGTCAACTCCAAGATTCAAACACTGGCAGGAGTTTATCCACAAAACAGTATATTTATCTGATGTACGGCTACCACTGCTAGCTGCCAACACCCTCAGGTTTTTGTCTCATAGCTGTTACTAAATCTTTTTACAGATATAAATGTTGAGCATGTGTCTGATGTTATGTGATAGCAGCATAGACGACACTTATGTGTGTGGGAGATTCATTTTGTAAAATTTTAGAAAGAATGGACAAACCGTACTCTGGCTCTAGGTAGGGCTTTCCGAGGCCACCGTAGATTCTCCTTTACACTTAGGAGATGAAACAAGGGACTTGCAATCGGTGTCGAGACCGCTAGAAGACACTACATCTTGCACACTGGTCCTTTAATACACATTTTATTCACAATGAGTTTGTCCAAGTTATCATTTCCACCTTTAAGGGTAACATTTCCCGTCTCCATTGGCTCAAAATGTTGGGAAAGTGTCCAAGTAGGTGCTTTGGCAACGTCTCTCAAAAGAACATTTGGCAGGAGACAGTGAAAAACTAGTGTTGATAAAAGGTCAGCCAATACAAGACTGTAGTTGAGGTTATTGCAGCAACTTAATAACTGTAATGGCGACCAGGGCTGCTATTGACAATTGTTTCCATTATTGATTAACGTCGATTACTTTCTCAATGAATCGTTTGGTCCATAAAATAGTAGAAATAGGTAAAGACAGTAAAAATGTCCATTTCCATTTCCAAAATCCCTAAGATGACATACACTTTTATTATATATTTTATTCATATATTCCAACCAACAGTCAAAAAAACCTTCAGATATTTAATATAATAGAAAAGCCAATATTCTCATCTGAGAAGTTGAAACCAGTTAATTTGTTTTTACTTTTAAAAACTACTAAAACAAAATGTTCTTTTCAATTATTATTCTGTTGATCAACTAATTCATAACATGCAGTTCTACACAAAAATGCTAGTTTTTACAATTAAGTATCTTCAATTAAAAGCCATATATTTAAAAGGCAGAAAAACAACAACAATCCTTTACTTTTTTTTTTATGGAAAACATCTTTAATGGATTTTTTTTAAAGTAATGTCTTGTTAAGTGGGTACATATTGATACAAATGTTCTATCCTAGCTACAGACAGGGTCAGATATTTTTAGGAACCAGTAGAGTGCCTGTATAAAAAACACCCCATCACATGGTAGCGTGTCTGGAGACACAGGGCTAATCTGACATTGCAGTGAGTAAATTTAGTCCAAAAATCTATACAAGTCAGGGGCTGCAAATCCACAAAACACACTGTAGATGCAGACAAACAGATGTAAATCAATAACAGACTTGTGTGTCTGGACACCTTTTTTCTTCAGGATGTTTTTTTTTTCTCTCTACTTGTAGAACTCGTGCTCCTGCTCGTCCTTTTTGATGACGGTCTTGTAAGCTTTTTCAAAGTCCTTAGCCAGGACGATATACCTGTTTTCACGCACCGCCAACATGCCAGCCTGAGACGGCAGAGGTAGACATAAAAAGGAGGAGAGAAATAAAAGAAAAAAACAAAAAAAACAGAACAAATGAATGTGTATGTAGTTAGCTGTTCAATACACAAAGTAAAACATTGTTTATGTGTTACCATTAGTTTTCATTTCGCACTGCTCCAAGAAAAAGGAGAAAGCATAACTAAACAGGTAGTTGAGCTCACCTCCTGGCAGATGGAGTTGATATCAGCTCCAGAGATTTTGTCTGGTCTGGCCACATCTGTACATCAGTTAAGGACGACTAAGCAACAGCAATGCCGAAACACAAGAAAAACATCTGAGTATCTGAGCTGTGTTTAAACAAAAAGGAATATTTGAATGACGCACTGTAAACAAATTGCAGACTCTCAACCATAACAGTGTTTATACTGCAAATGCACCAGCTGCTATGTGTTTTGATAAGAGTTTTCATTTTGTCGTTAGTTTGTTTTTTTGCGTATTTGTCACTTTGTAGGCAGCATAAAAAGTCCAGAACAACTGGCATCCATAGAGAGCTGTTACCTGCAGGGCTGCACAATTAATCATTATTGAAATCACAATATGGCCATGTGCAATATCCAGATTGCAGAAGCCACAATTTTTTGATAAAGGTAAAATGTGTGAGAAAACACATTCACTATAATGTGGTACTGTATGTATGATGAGTTCCTGCTGTCTGCCCCTGTGTTTTGAGAAACAGAGCCAATGGGGTGCAAGTCCACAATTGTATCATTGATTTATATTTTTATGCATTTTGCTATCAAAATCTAATTTTTTTTGCAAGCCATAACTCTGTTTCCCTGGTAACACCTGAGGCTTTGATCAATACCCGGAAGGATCATTACTACCCCTTAAGGTTCTAATGCAATGTAAAGATTGTTCACTACTCCAGTAAAAAGGACGAGCCTTGGATATGACTTGGCTAGGGGAGATATTTATAGCTCCCTCCGCTCATACAGCCCTTTGGCTCAGCTACGAGCCAGAGAGCTAACATGCGAGTCAATAACACTGTGTACAGTTGACAAACAGTGAATATAGTTTGACAGTATGTTTAACAGCATGACTAACTAGTGATCCAGCCACGTCATTATCCCTAAATCAATACGAGGATTTTCAAGAACAATGATATGGCATGTGTAGTGACGGCCACAGGCTGAAGTAGCAAGTTGGTTTTTACAAGTATCAGTAAGTTCAGAGGGGCAGTGTAGGGGCTTGTGTGTACCACCCTCTGGTGTTCAGAGGACTGAAGGACTACACTCAGTGTTGGAAGTGATATTTATAAGATATTCAGATTTTGTTATCATTTCATTTTGGAACAGTGAACAGACTGGAGCTACCTAGTAGGTGTGCTACATTAAGAATTAATTGACACCCTGCAGCCAATCAGAATTGAGTATTCACCCAGAACATTAATTAAACAAGAGAGTACCCAGCAGTGCAAGAATCTGCTAACCTTATGCATGCATCTGCTTCTGTGTTTAAAGAAAGTGTATTATTCTACAATATGGCAAATCCATCAGGGGGAACAAGATGCCCTCTAAAAAGGAAAAGATCATTTCTCACTCACTGTTATACACACACACAAACATCACTTAAACACGCTGTTATTGAACCAAAGGATACAGTCTTCCAGGTCGACCTCCTCAGAGAGGTTCATTTTACTGGTGATGGTG